GCAAAATTCACTCTTTCCAACAACCAAGATGAAAGTTCTGTAAGCATTTCTAATACTAATGCAAAGTGGCCAGCCCAACAGGGACAATGATCCCATTCAGAGAACCCACTGCTAAGGAAACTGCGTGGGCAGGGAGTCTTTGAGCCAGAATCTCTCTTTGCTGAAGTAGCAAAGATGAGAATTGCTGAAGCAGGGATTACTATATTGATTTCCGCATCCTCAGAGACCCATCACCTGCACCTCTGAGGCACTGAGGAAAAATCCTCCTGGGTCTGTCCCACATGGTCTCCTAGGAGGCTGAACAGAAGAAGAAGGGGCCTTACCCTTCTCCCTCTCTGGCCCAAAGCTGAAGAACAGTAACTTCAAGGCTGAGTGTGTATTGTGCCACTCAAGCTTGGTGCCTCAGGAGTGACCTGGTGAGGTTAGAGGCTAACAAAGGAAGAAAGGAAGGGATAGCCACAGAGACCAAAGTCTCGCTGCCTGGGCTTCAAAATATCCGGGGCACCTGAGGCACCAAGAATCCAAGGAATACAGAGGTAGGCACTTACGGTTGTTGTTGTCAAAGGCACTTACTGTAGCTGCCTTTATTTGCCAGATTCAAGGTGGTCACTAATTAGCGGGCTCAGTCTCGAGATCAATGATCCCAAAGGTCTCCTGGAAGATATTCTGTTTAGGATCACCATGGACATTAGACACCCCATCTTCATCCTTTGTGGCTAATTGCAACTACGTAGGCTGTGTGTGTGTGTGGGGGGGGGGAGGAGGCGGGGTGAGGAAACCAGGCCTCATTTATTTATCAGGACCTGGTAATGGCCAGAAGCGTTGGAGGGGCCTGCTTCTCTTGTCTGTCCACTCCTGCTGTCCTGATAGTGAATCTATGTGAGTGTGTGACTCTGGGCCCTCCACAGTTCCATTCATGACTCTTCTCACTCTTCTCCAGACCTTCAGCATGGCCCACCGATTTCCAGCCCTCACCCAAGAACAGAAGAAGGAGCTCTCAGAAATCGCCCAGCGCATCGTTGCAAATGGGAAGGGGATCCTGGCTGCAGACGAGTCAGTGGGTGCGTGTAAGAGGTGGTCACAACATGCCACAAGCACACTCTTGTTTGTAAATTTAGCAAAACCAACTTGACAATTCATCCTCCTTCCTCTCAGAGGAAGTCAGGGTTTATACACACAGCAGTGGGATCAGAAGACTCAGCAGGCACAGACCTTTTGAGTTCTGTCGTCATATTCCTGAAAATCTGATAGGCACGTTCCTGAAAAGCAAGGGAAGAGGCTCAAGCTCTCAACACAAAGGCCCCTCGCCTTAAATCAGGATTGCAGTAATGCTAGTCACTCAGTAACCAGCATAAGGTTAGATATACAGCCATCTCCTGCTAATGAAGGAGCTCTGGTGGCGTAGTACCTAAGGCATTTGACTGCTCACCAGAAGGCTGGCAGTTCAAACCCACCAGCCACTCCCCGGAGGGAAGGTTGGGCAATCTACTTCCATAGTGATACTGCCTCGGAAACCCAAGTAGGAGTCGCTATGGGTTGGATTCAACTCCACGGCAATGGTTGCTTGCTTTTTTCACTGCTAATGAAGTCAGGTTAAACCAGAGCTTCCAACCTATTCATTCAAGTTCAACCTCCTGTTGAGAATTTGCATATCCATCCTAGATATAGGAGCTCTGGTGGGGTAGTGCCTAAGGCACTTGACTGCTAACCAGAAGGCTTGTGGTTCAAACCCACCAACCACTCCTTGGAAGGAAGATTGGGCAATCTCCATAGTGATACCACCTCGGAAACCCAAAGAGGAGTCGCTGTGAGTCAGATCCAACTGGATGGCAGTGAGTTTATTTGTTCAGTTGATCCAGATATATTGAATCAGAATCCACCTTTTAACAAAATTCTCAGGTGATTCTATGGATTTTATGTATACATAAGACTGTGGTGGGCTTGCTCAGCCTACCATTAAAGGACAAAAAGCCAGAGAAGTGAAGACCTTGTCACATCTCCTCTTATGATATATGTACATCTATCTAGTCAGACTGGAGACTAGAGACTGGAGAGTAGAGAGACCTGAAGACCTTTTGTACCCTCATAGACCCATTGGTGGCTTCCATTTTGACCCCTATATACACAGAAGACACACTGGGAAATTTTCCAAGCAGCATCCTGACAGAAACCAAGGTTTTTCTACCAGGAGACAACAAAAATTGTCAGGAGTTTGAAGATCTGAGTCTAAACAAGAGAGAGAGAGAGAGAGTCTTGTTTTCCATGATGTTAGGTTCACTGAGATAGCATGGGAAAGTGGGGAAGGGAAGCCCTGCTTGTCCTCACGCTGCCTGTGGCCCTCCCCCCTTAGGCACCATGGGAAACCGCCTGCAGAGAATCAAGGTGGAGAACACCGAGGAGAACCGCCGGCAGTTCCGAGAGATGCTCTTCACAGCGGACAGTTCCATCAACCAGAGCATTGGCGGGGTGATCCTTTTCCA